GTTTTTAGAGAACAGGCTTGTCCTTGTTATCGTGCAGCAAAATCCTATTTCGGCTGCTATTGGTTTTACGCGGTTTTGTAAAGTTAAAGTATTTCTGACTAAAAACTGGCACAAAGTTTGGCTATATTGGCATGTCCAAATCTTCTCTTTCTTGTATTGCATGATTCAACCTGGTTTATCGCATTTTAAACTTTGTTTTCAACATACGTTAGTTCCTACAACGATGCGATTCAGCCTTCATTATTCAAACTTCGATAACTCACTGACACCTATATCTTAGCATAAATGCCACTCTTAGAAGATAGTTAGGCTCTGTTAGCTCCTTTGTTTGTAGAAACAAAAAGTTGCTTATTTCAATACTGAAAGAATTAACAGGCTTCTGATAATTTCGTCTATAAAATATGCACCTTCTCTCCAACAGTCAAGTTGATTTTCCATGTAGGATAATTTAATACATTCTAACTTTCACTTTAAAAAGGTATTTATGCATTTTTGTTCTACTAACGGAAGGTAGTCGTAATACATGTCTGTTGTTTAAAAAAATGAACCAACCATGGTTACATTAAACTTTATCAGCATGAACACATACCTTAAAGAGACCTCTCTAGTCATCCACTGCTACTTACTCTAGTCATTGACGTGGGCGTCCGCAAGGGGAGCACTTGCCCCCTTTTACGGATTATCAATTTTGTGTTTTTCTTGTTGTAGCTTTGATATCATTTTGTCATCTTGTCCCCCTCTGTAATATATCCTTCGAACACTCATGATCGCTGGTTATCACACACTGCCACTCTCTCTAGTCATTGATTACCACAAACTGTTGTAGTAACCATTATCTTGCTGTGCACCCACCATGCAGGTAGGTTAGCATCAACAGAAATTGGATCTCTTAGTGCTAACGTGATCTAATGTTGAGAAACGTTTTGAAATAGCCCATTGTGTACATCCTATAAATCAACTATTGCATGTTCAATGCTCTACAAAAATGTTATAAAAAAGTGTTCATAAGGAAAATATTGAATGCCTGAAAAGCTCGTACTTCATGTTGGCTGTATGACTAACTATCCATGCCCAATAAAAACCAGCGAATCGTGTATATGCCACAAGAATATGACTGTCAGTAACGAACAATAATGTACTAAGTAAACCCTACTTGGTTGAAACTCATAACAGTTTTAACATACTTAACGTTGAGAATTTAAATGATTTTTTCTCTTTTGCCATTGCAATAAACCAAAAATTAAAGTCTGTTCTCATAATTTAATAGAGACAGAAACTGATAACACTTCTAAACAACTGACAACAAAAACGTACCCTAATTTTCTAGTTGTGACAACATGCAACAATTTAATAACCAGGTTTATTTTATTTTTACGTTAATCTTTTTATATATATATATATATATATATATTACAATTATTGCTAATCCTGACACTACTAAATGAACAAGAGGGAATCCTCAATAGCCACGGCTGTAACTAGATCGTAAATTGGTCAAGAGATGGAGTTATGAGCTAAAAGTTTCTCCTTAAAAAAACAAAAAACAACAACAACTCAGAGCCATTCTATAAGCCACTATGCTGCAGCTAAAAATAAAATAGAATTACTTGGGCTAAGCATGCCCAGAATGTGAATGTGAAGGCTCATGGTTCGCATTTCTTGGCCTAAAAATTCATTCCACACTTTGGGGTCATGGGTGTGCTACAAGAGTGATAGTCAAATTCCACTATTTGGTCAGACAAAAGGTGGTAATGGATGCCGTACACTAATTGATTTTCCTCTAGCTTAGTAGATCAAAATTAAAGATGGCTATGCACAGATAGCTCCTGTGAAGCATTGTGCTAAACTTCTTAAAGGACAAAACCGAACTACCATTATGCCAATTTTAGATTTCTTTTACTGGCATACTGGAAAATGCATTCATGATTGGGCCCAGCATGGCCAGGTGGATAAGGCGCTCGACTCG